ATCAGATCTACAAAATTTGAAACAAAATTTGTAAAAATCACAACATACCACGAGGTGTGCCGACTTAAGTAGCTGCTTTGAAAAAATATTGGACAGCTCGTGCTCATATTTGGTATAGTAATTAAGGACAGCCCTACCAACTTTGCCAAATACATTGTTTTGAAATATTATTTACCCGGTGAATTTAATTACGATTTCCGGATGATTTTTTATCTCAATGTATGTAGTAATATTTTGGAAGTGATGAATTTAATATTTTTCGAGATAATACACTTCATTTCCTACGACGCCAAAAAGAGAATCCCCACATCTCTATAAAGAAGACTCACTGAAAGATTAAAGAGATTTTATTCTGCTGTAAATATATCAGTTTCAGTGAAAAACTTTTATCATTGTGAAACAGTTGAAGCCCAGGTTTAGATTGACAAACATTATTTGGACGCTCCACCAGGGAAATCAGCCATTAAGATACGTGTGCTAAGTTTGAGCTAGGGGAAGTGCGCACCTAATACGAACAAACGAGGTTTTTACCGACGAAAACATTAAATCACTTTACTTCGAAGTTCAATCGACAGTCACTCGAGTGAACTCCACACTATGAATCGTATAGTATCGTACAATAAAGTGGGGAGAAATGCAACAGACGATTGGCAAGATTACAGTTATTTTTATTAATCCAAAAATTGGGTTTCGAAATGCTTCCACATCTAACATATTTTCTACAACTGATCCCCAGCCCCTACTCGTATTTTCTGTTCTCACACCACAAAATAATGTTCGTTGGGGTGAAATTTTTCGTCGATTGAAGTGGAGATCGCGAGACCGAGGCATATTTTGAAGCAAAGAACAAATCGTACTAAAAAAATTGTTACCGAAAAGTTGGAGGCTTGCTATAAAGAAGATATAACCCTTGAAGGAAATAATTTTTACAAAAAAGATGTATTTTACTATGTTACAGGGGACTTTTCAATTGATCTGTTAGATGACTTGCCTAAATAGTTTCACTAAGATCTTTGCTTAAAATCTAAAATATTTCTTTGAAATTAAGTAAAGTGATTGGAATAAAATAAATGTGTATAATATATAGTCAGCGGTCAGTCTGAAAACATTGTACATTGTAATTGAATCAATGGACATATTATAACGTACAACTGGAAAGACAAAGATGCAATTTGATTGTCGTATTTTAAGAGCAGTATTCATAAATGTTAAATCTAAATAGTTATTCCAATTTATTGCAGACATAAACTGCAAGCGTGTACTTTTCCAAAATTGGTATCATAAAATATAAAATATTCTGCTCCCGCTATAAACGGCTAAAATAAAAACAACAGCACAATATCTTATAAACATATTTTCGATATTATCGTTAATGTCTATATATGTCTGTACATGGAGTTATACTGATATTAATCAATTCAGAAAAATAAAATATAATATGCACTATAAAGATGTAAAGCAAAGCATTTCATTAGTAAAATTGTTGGAAATCTGTAAACTAAACAGAATGCCACAAAGCAATGCAGCCAGTCAGCCGATGATGCGCACTTGTACACACATTATTACCTATATACATGCATACATACATATATATCAAAGTAGGAACCTAAATAAACGCGGGCCGCCTGTAATAGGGCGGCAGTGAGCCCCAGGGATTGCATTCGTCATGCGAGTATAATATTAGCCCACAGCCAACAATGCTAAATCATTCCGCAGACACTCACTTCGACATACATGTATGTCTATACATACATATCTTTATATACATATATCTGAGTTTATGCGCACATGTGTATTCATTTAATAGTCTACTAAGTAAATGCTGATTTCTTTATTGTAAAGTAAACACAGTGCGCATTCAAGGAAAAAAGAAAATCAGCGCTGTGTTCAAGTATAAATAAATGTGGCTATGACGCGGCAACCGCAAGTCGGCCGCTGCCACAATAGCCACTATATATTATATTGAAATGCGAACAATTTGATTTCGCATAAAACTCACCTCGATTAATTTTTTTCCATTCCAAGTTTTGCGCCGCGTTGTTGTTGTTGTATTCGCTTGCGGCCAATGCAAGTGGCAAGCAACGCGTGAAAAGCACGATTCGCCGCTACTTTGTTTACACACACTTGTATATTTACATGCACAACTACTCATATATATATACATATATTATGTATATTATATATAGTGTGTATGGTTATACTAATGGCGTATACCTCCTTTAGTATGCTAATGTATTTATGGCTGTTTCTATTTGCATTGAAGCTACCTGTAAACAATTCATGTTATTTATATTGAACGCATGTTTTCATTTTCATCGATGAGCACATCACTTGGTTGTCTTAATTTCTTTCAAATATTCTCGGCTACTTAAAACCGGGCAGCGTAGGTTGTGGGAAATTCAAATATAATTGATTTAATAATCAGTTGTGCAAATGTGTTTATATAGATGTAAGGAGCGCACTTAGAGTGTAATTGAAACTGTCTTTTTTCATATTTCTTTGGGGTTTTCTTTACAAAAAATCAAAAAACATTTTTTTTTTTTAAATCAATATCTACATATATGTCTATATCAGTTTTAAACTACTGTTCAATTAGCTCCAATAATTTATCGTTAACCTTCTCTCGATAAAGCATTTCCTGCACTGACTACTCGGAGAAAAATTAATGTTCCAAGTAGAGGTGCTTTTTTCAATAGCCTTTTCTTGACAGATCGTGGGTGAGTCGTGTCAAGAACAACAGTCAACATAATTGGCCTACTGAGCGCCCTATTCGCAACACCATAAATCACATATCTTAAGATACAGCATTCATTATTGGAATATATAGCAGCCGTAGCTGAGAGTCGATTCGGCGCCTTTCGCAGCAACTCGGACTGATGTATGCAATGACTTGGCGCAAGAACTGCAGCCGCTCGACCTTCCCAAGCGACATGGCTTCACTCTATTGGCACTTGAAAAGTTTCAAAAAGATGTAATGTTTTGGAGCGAAATTTTGTTCAGCGATGAGGTCCATATCTGGCTCAATGGGTGTGTTAATAAGCAAAGCTGCTGCATTTGTGACGAAGAGCAACATGAAGCGATTCAGGAGCTGGCATTTCACCCAGAAAAAAACAACGGTTTCGTGTTGTTTGTGTCCCCGTGGAATTAATGTTCCATATTTCTTCAAAAATTATGCCAGTGAGAACGTAACCGTTAATGACAACCGTCATCGCGCCATGATAACCGCCTATTTGATGTCAGAAATGGAAGCTAGTGACCTCGGCTACATCTGGTTTCAACATGATGCCGCCATTTCCCACACATCGCGTCAATCAATGGATTTATTGAGAGAACCCTTCGGTGAGTCGTTTGGCCAAGAAGATAGTGCGATATCACACCGTTAGACAGTTTCCTGTGGGATATGTAAAGTCTTAAGTTATGCGAACAATTCCGCTTCGACCAGTTATCAGTCGAATGAATCGAATGAGTCAAAAAATGGACTCAAGGGATAGACCGTTTGAGACGTAGCTGCGGTCGATATTTGAAAGGGTCAATCTTCAAAAAATAAATGCTAAAGAATGTTCTTACGAATTATAATAAGCATTGGTCATTATATTAGAAGTTTCTATGTTTTTTCATCAAAAAAATAGGGAACCACCAAATGGATTACCCATTATATTAAAAATATACGGTAAGGCGCTTGGATTCTGCGACTTTTTTGCTTCGATAAAAACCGTCAAAATTCCATTTGGTGATTTTGAACATGATCGTTTTCGGCGATTGACTACGGGTGTTAAGAAAGTTTATCGAACTGAAAAGACACTATGCTGAGAAAGTGTTCTCGTTTTTCCCCAAAATTTACTCTCTTTGTATATCAAGCGTAAATGTGTCCCTTACAACTTAAAAGTGTTGCTTTAAGCGTAAAATACTTGGGAAAATTTGCATATTTATGTTCGCCACTCTCCAAACTTAAATTTTGTTTTCGAAAATAATTAAAATTATTGAAAAGTGAATACGTAAACTGAAAAATTGAGGAAATTAAGTCAAAAATTTATCTTTTTTGTTTATTGAATAATTTTTTTTTTTTTTTGTAATTTGCGAAAACAATCTTAAATTCTTTAACTGTGAATTTTAAATGTGTAACCAGTTTGAAAAAGTTGTTTACTATGTTACAGCATAGGGATCGTAGATCTGCCTACCATTTCTTCAAGTCGATGATTAATGCCTTTATTGGAATATGGTTCACATCAAAACGGTTTATCAAAAATTGGTTTGATTCGCTTTTGGTCATCAAACTGACGCATTTCCTTTGGTTTACGGATATCAAAAGATCTATTTTTGTCTTATTAAATTCTCTATTTTCCCGAAAATTCAAGCTGATCCGATTAATAGTTTCGGGAATACAGCCTTGAGAACTTGCTAAGTGCACCGTCTTTAAACACGTTTTTCTCAAAACTGTGGTTTTGAAGTCAGTTGGAAAGATTTTCTCCCAACGCGGACGCTTATTTTTTCGGAGAGGTCACCTGAATGGCGTCGCTATGGCTGAGTTTAAAATAATTTTTTTTTTTAATTTCAGAATTTCTTTGTAAATGGTGTTTGTTTGCGACAATAGAAAACTTTAATAAAATATTTCATTTTTTATATGAGGAAAAAATTTTTGAAAGAAGGCGGAGTTTTACCCAAGGAACCTATCTAACCGCTTAATAAATGGAGCGGGGAGCTTTTTTGACGATATATAAATTTTTCAAAATTTGGAAATATATGTATTTATTTTCAAAAAATATAATAATATATAAGAAACTCAAACCTTATTTCAAATTTTGTAAAAATTCTGTATTTGATTACTATGTAGCATACGTTTACAAGAAAAGAAACTAAAAAAACCACAATAAATTTAAGCTATTCCTATAGATTTTATGACAATAACATATTCAAGAACTAAGAATTTAAAAAAACATAATTAGTGTTTTCTATCGGACTACTTGCTATTGCCATAGCTCACAAACTCAACAAAAACATACCCTATTAATTGTTCCAATCAATGAATTTCCCGCCTATGTCCAGTCACAAATCACACCATTATTTATATTTCATCGTCCATAATTTGCATATCTGTACATGAATGTATGTTTGTTTGTCTTCCACAGTAATTATGTTAATAAATTAACCGTTTGTTTTAATAAAAATATTTTGTTTTTGAACATTACACGTGATTAATTGAATTGGCTCCGCCACGAAACTTTGCTGTGCGACGCACACCGCCTTAGAGCGCAAACAAATTGGCAACTAAACGCGAACTGAAAGCCGAACGTGTATTGAAATGCCATCTCAGCGGTATCGAGCGCTCCTCCGTGTACGCAGCATGAGAAATTTGATTTCACATTGGCCAATCCAAGAACACACCGTTTGTGCCTCAACGGCAAAACTGTAGAAAAATATCGGACACGTTGTACTGTGCGCGGTGAGTGAGCGAAAACATCCTAGGGCAGTAAGATCAGCGAAACCCACTGGCGATTCAATGCACCAGCTATATAACAAACATAAATTACTACATACATATGTATATGTGCAAATTAGGAATGACGCAAAGTAATTGTAAATAAAGTCAACGATGCACACCCAATTGGAAATATTTACTACCGACCTCTTCGTGAGGGAATTCCCGAAATTGTATAATAATAATGGATGATCAAAGTAAAGATGCTTATTTTTGTTATATTGTGTTGTTCGGCATTTCAACATGGAATGTTTACAAATCATTCAACTTTCTTTCGAAAATGCATGTTCTATCAACATAATCGAACTACTCAGCGTACTATTCGCAAAACCAATCTTGAGACACAGCATTCATTGGATAATATTCAACCGAATTCGACCCCATCGAGCAGGCAGTGAAGAAAACATTGCGACGCGGTTCGCAGCACCTCGAACTGACGTAAGAAATCACTTCGCCCATTTTACGTCGAGATCTTAAATAGAAAGCGTAAAAAAAAAAACGGCTTGTTCACTTCGCTCTATGGGCTGAAGCTCATTTATCGCTCCATGGGTATGTAAACAATCAAAATTGCCGCATTTGGGATGAAGTGCAACCTAAAGAGGTTTGGTGTGGCTTGCGGTCCTGGAAAATCATCGGTCCATAGTACTTGCCGGTGAAAAAGGCAAAGGTGACCGTTATCGCAAGATAAAAATTGAAGCTCGTGATCTCGTCAACATTTGGTTTCAACAGGACGGCGCCACTTCCTTCACCTAGCATCAAACAATTTATTTATTGAGAGAACACTTCGATGTGCAGACAATTTGACGTTTTGGGCCGCTCGATTGACCTAAGATTATTTGTTATCACAACGTAACACTTTTCCTGTGGACAAAGGAAATGCCTTGAAAAGCATTGCTAAGTTCAGCTGAAATTAAGCGCATACAATTTTAAAATTTTGATGAAATGATGATTTCAGAAATAAGTGTTACTTATCTCCTGACAGCAAACAAACAGTCGTAGCGCTCACGACTTGGTTCCCACGTCACTGTTGACAGTCATAATTCAAGTTCCTCTATCTTGCATTTGATGGAGCGATGAGCTGTATGAGACATACGACGATATTGACATAGTTCAACGAATTAAGAGACAGCGGCCACGTTTGCCAGATCATGTCGTCGGAATGGATGAACACAGTCCAGATCTGAGAGTATTCGACGCAGTATACGCCAGGAGAAGCAAGGTAGAGGAAGACCTCCACTCCGTTAAAAAAGTAGGAAGAGAAGGACTTGACTACACTTGGAATCTCAAATTGTCGCCCAACAGCGAAAGGGAAGAATGACTGGCGCGCTGTTGTAAACTCGGCTATAACCGGTGACTATAAGCGGTGTCTACGCCAATAAGAAAGAAGAGTTGAGGGTTTTTTCTAGCAGATAATTGTATACAATTTCTGATTTCGAGAAAGTGTTTACCCAACGGCCAGCGCCGTTTGTACATCTCCATCCGTTTTCGATGACCTGGTATCCCATTTCGACGAGGGGGTGGTAGACTATCGTAGAGACTATAAACATTTTCGAACATTGCATCTTTGTGTTGCATAGTGTGTTCAGAAGAAACATTATGGCGGCAGTTTTTTTGCGAGAAGTACTCTTAGAGTAGCCACCAGAGAAGGTAAATTTGCGTAATAATCTTCCACAATTTCTCAGCGTTGTATCAAAGTGAAACATGAAATGACGAAATGACAAATCTAACTGAACCCTCGGAGACAAATATATATACTATAGCATATAGTTAGCATACAAACTTAGCGATCGAACCCATCCATGTCCTTGCGTGGAAGTCTTTTATACATCTTTACGAAATTTGCAAAGATTGTCCAATTCAATCTGAACAATCAAAACTGCTTAAGAAATTGACCACCAAGACTTTTATGATTTCAAACCTGAGGCACTTTTATGTGAGGGCTACAAATTCACATTCTCACGTATTTCAATGCACTCGATTTCTAAACTCTGGGAATTAAATGTAATTCTTCCTAAAATCCCTGTGATAATACGGGAACTTTAGAATATTTTTGTTTAACGATCGTTAGACTAAAATTTTCAAATTTTATTTAACAAAAATATATTTTTTAAGATATCGTCTGCTTTCGTTCGAATAATTACGCTTCTACAAATATAAGAAAACGTAAATATTTATACTAAATAATTAATTTTCTATTCACAATTTGTACTCATTCATACCCATTTGTATAATTCAGCAACAATAACTTGCAAACTTGTGTTCATAAAATCTCTTTGTATGACTAACTCGTACTAACATGAGTATATAAATTTGTACAAGAGATGCTAATATGTGTGTGCCTGGGATATTCTGGGTATTCAATATCGCTACCTAATAACAATAAATTATTGCTGAGAGACTGTGGGTTGTACGAGTATTATTCTCAGAAATTTTTATTTATTATAATTGCTGGATAATGTTTATTCGAAATAAACAAATACTCACTGATTTTAAAAAAGTGCAATTTTTATAAGAATATGAAGTAAAGCATATTTGTTTGCTTACGTTACATAAAAAGTGTGCGAAAATAAAAAAATAAAAACGAAAATCGTATCTTATAAACATATGAAGATTGTAAACAAAATATTTTAAATATAAAATTGTAAGTTTATTTATTGACCGTGTTTACGCTTACCTTTTATAGATTATCTTGTAATATAAGAGAAGACTATTTAGAAATACATATGTTGTAAATGTTTTGTAATGTAAAAACAAAATTTTTCCTCTCACTTACACTTATATACTCAAGATCATATTTGACCCGGACAGATCTATATAAACTGTGCGCTCAAACAAAATCAAACCAAATCGAACCAAAAATTGCTGCAATCTTTTTAAACTTAGAACATGGATGTAGTATATACATTAAGTTTGCCACCAAGTTTGTAACACGCAGAAAGGAATGGCGGAAATAGTATAAAATATATGTATAACTCCTTCTTTAATGGCGTAGGCATTGCTTAAGCGGTTATAGCCGAGCTTACAACAGCACGCCAGTCGTTCTTCCTTTGCCAAGTGCAACTAGATCCTTCTCCACTTGATTCGTTTTAAAGGAGTGGAGGTCTTCCTCTGTTTACACCAACGGGTACTACATCGACTACTCTCAGAACTGGAGCGCCAAAATAGCCGCTGTCTCTTATTTCGCTGTACTATGTCAATATCTTCATATGTGTATTTCGTACAATTTATCGTTCCATCGAATGCGACGACTGTCCACTCCATCGTCATCGAACCATTCAGTGTTCTCTCGATAATTTCAGTATGCTCTGGGCATCAGTCACTATACAACTCTAGTTCACCAAACTTGAGTATTTTATTTCATTATAAACGTCGTTCTTGTCGGTCTCTTTATATCGAAGGTAGTCCCGAGGTAGTCTTTAGTAAATATGTACATGTATTAATAGGATTTCAGAATCGGATTGTTTGAGAGTTAAGAGCGCACAAAAAAGTTGTTATTAAATCAAAATATGAGTTGGTCAGTCTTTGTTGGCTAAACAGTTGGAAAGTAAGATGCAACTTTCATCCTAAATTGAATTCGTGGTCATAATGAGCGTTATTAAATTTAGTAAATATTTGAATTACATATATAAATATATAATAAATTTAAATTTTTTTTAATATATTGTAATTTATTCATCTATTTACAGGTATGTGCACTGAATATAAATACCTATGTGAATCCACTTCGATGCTAAGGTAAAAAGACAAATAAAATGAAATTTATAGCATTTTTTTAGATTTCTAAAGAACTTGTATGTAAATGTTTTATATATCCTATATATGCACAAATGTACTTTTCCTAAAAGTGAAATTATTCATATTGTAACAGTTCCACATAGCTCTTGCCTGTCACATACACTCGCCACAAGTAATTGCTCATTCCATCGAAGAATTTCCATTTGAATTCCTTTTATTTGAAGATTAATTATTTTATTTTCTTTTTGATGTTTTTATGAATTTACATAAATCTTTCGTTGCCAACCAGGCGTTTAAATTAAAATAAATACCGAAGTCAGATGGAAGATGTTTTAAGCCAAACTGATTTTGAATGTGAAATTATATATAAAAGTCTCTGCTGCACAAAAGTAATTTCTTAAGTAAATATCTTGTCTCAAAAATATAGTTATGTACAATATGTCCATTATTTTTCCATATATAAGCTTATATACCTACATGTATGTATGTATGTATGTATATATATCTATATACAATAGACACTGGTCGCTTATCCAACTGACCGTAGCCATTGTTTGGCCACAAACTTGTTTTTTGTTTGTTTGTAGTGTTTTGTTTGTCCTTGTTTGTTAGTTTGGCTTGTTGTATGTGGCTTTTAATCTTTTTATGTAGCAAAAGTTTCAAAAAAAAAAGTATCGCAAATAACGGTCGACAGTTAAGACATTGTTCGGAGGTGGTAACAGAAACAGTCATACCAACTTTCTAATTTACTATATATGAATGCAGGGGGTCATTCTACTTGTAGGTGCTTGTTAAAGGGATACGCGTTCGCAACTATGGGTATACGAGTATATAAAGTAATAAAGTTTGTTTGGATTAGGAGAGAAACACTTTTATATTCTTATATTTGAATATCGTCCAATGAAGCAGAGTTCGCTTAAGGATTATAGTTATATAGAAAACTCATTTGAATATCGAGAACTATTTTCTTTTTAGGTACCATGGGTTTCTTTTGAAACCAGTTTTAGAGTTATCAAATTTGAATGAGTGAAATTTGTTCGGAAAGCCACTTATTTATATTTAAAGATTGGACTTAATATTTCACCACATAATTAGAAATTTAATAATATTTTCAATAAAATATTCTCCTTAAAGCGTTTTTAAATCCCATTCACATACAACACGGCCGATGATAGAATTAA